TTTGCAGACCTGAGCGCAGAGGAGCTGGCGGCTGTGATGAGCTTTCTGACCCAGCAGCTGGGGCCAGGCCTGGTGGATGCAGCCCAGGCCCGCCCCTCAGACAACTGCGTCTTCTCGGTGGAGCTGCAGCTGCCCCCCAAGGCTGCAGCCTTGGCCCACCTGGACAGGGGGAGCCCCCCGCCTGCCCGGGAGGCACTGGCCATCGTCTTCTTTGGCAGACAACCCCAGCCCAACGTGAGTGAGCTGGTGGTGGGACCACTGCCCCACCCCTCCTACATGCGGGATGTGACTGTGGAGCGTCACGGGGGCCCCCTGCCCTATCACCGACGTCCCATGCTGGGAACTGAGTTTGCCCAGATCTGGAAGCATCTGAAAGAGGTGGAGCTACCCAAGGCACCAGTCTTCCTTGCTTCAGTCTTCAACTACAATGGCTCCACTTTGGCACCTCTGCAGGCCAGTCCTCATGGCTTGCGCTCGGGAGACCGTACTACCTGGATAGCCCTCCACCATAACATCTCAGGTGTTGGGTTTTTCCTTCACCCAGTGGGGCTGGAGCTACTGCTGGACCACAGGGCCCTGGACCCTGCCCACTGGGCTGTTCAGCAGGTCTTCTACCTTGGGCACTACTATGCAGACCTGGGCCAATTGGAATGGGAGTTTAAGGCTGGCCAGCTGGAAGTGGTTAGAGTTCCTCTGCCCCTGCCAAATGGGGCTTCATCCCTGAGGTCCCGGGTCTCCCCAGGTCCTCTTCCACCTCTTCAGTTCTCACCCCAGGGTTCCCAATATAGTGTACAAGGGAACCTGGTCATGTCTTCCCTCTGGACATTTACCTTTGGTCATGGGGTGTTCAGTGGCATGAGGATTTTTGATATTCGGTTCAAGGGCGAGCGAGTGGCCTATGAAGTCAGTGTCCAGGAGTGTGTATCTATCTATGGTGCTGATTCACCCAAGACAATGATGACCCGATACTTGGATAGCAGCTTTGGACTTGGCAGCCACAGCCGGGGCTTGGTGCGGGGTGTGGACTGCCCCTATCAATCTACAATGGTGGACATCCACATACTAGCGGGCAAAGGGACAGTCCAGCTGCTTCCAGGGGCTGTGTGTGTATTTGAGGAGGCCCAAGGATTACCCCTTCGAAGGCACTACAATCACATTCAGAGTCATTTCTACGGTGGTTTGGCCAGCTCAGCTCTTGTAGTCAGGTCTGTGTCCACTGTAGGCAACTATGACTACATTTGGGACTTTGTATTTTACCCAAATGGGGCACTGGAAGGGCGGGTCCATGCCACAGGCTTTGTCAACACAGCTTTCCTGAGTGGGGGAGAGGAAAGCCTCCTGTTTGGGAACCGTGTGGGGGAACGAGTGCTGGGGACAGTGCACACACATGCCTTCCACTTCAAGCTGGACCTGGATGTAGCAGGTGAGTGCTCAGGGAATTAGGATTGATAGTTGGGGTGTGGCAGAGGGAAGGGAGACCCCACCCCCCCCAACCCCTATCAAGCCAGAAGAGGCTAGAGGGTTGCGTTCTAGCTCCACAATTCATTGTGGCATCAGAGCATGGACTGATTTAAGTGTATTCAACTGCAGTCAGCCTGAAATATTGGGCTTACTGGGTCTCTGGCAGAAGGTAGAGAGGGTTCCCCTGCCAAACTCCAATCATCCAGCCCCTCTGACTTGCTGCCACTGTGAAATTAATGTAAAGGCTGTGCCTGTCTACCTTAGCCTTGAGTGACAATGTGGGTGGTGAATTTGCCCTAAGGCTGGATGGGGCTAGAGTTGAGGCTCTGAGTTCTTCCTAATTCTGAAGGTCAGTGGCGGAGGGGAAAGCAGGGGGGCCTGAGCAGAGGTAGGAAGCAGTCTGTCTCAAGGGGTTTTCAGAATAGAGGTGGTCCAGGGCATGAGAAGGGGAGTACTAGCTGGGAGTTGCTCCACAGGATTTCAGACACCTGGGGATACAGGATCGTGACCCCCATCCCTTTCCTGTCAGCACATGTCATCACAATGGGCTCTCCAGTGACATGGCAGGCATGTAGTAGGCTTGGTGCAAGTGTAGAAAGAATTCCCAAGTAAGGCTCAGAGCAGAGAGAGGACTTGCTGCTCCTGACATGTTTTGTCAGGGAAAGAAAATAACCAACTTATCAAATCAGACAATTAGACCCAGAAAGAAAATTAGAAACCCACCAAACCCCTCCGTTTCACAGGGAAATTGAGGGTGGGGGGAGATGGGACTGGAAGTGACTGCCCAAATATAACATTGCTATAACTAAGGATATTTCTTGTGAAACATTCTTACTGTCCTGGGTATAAAGACGTGTGTGTGTGTGTGTGTGTGTGTGTGTGTG